CGACGCTCTTCCGATCCCCCCAAAACCCCAAAACCCCGATAGCAGCATATTACAAAGTAAAATAGCAATTATTATTTTGAATATAAAAGTTTTCATCTAATCGTCGTAAACTTCAATTCTTAGAGAAATGGTAGCATGAATTAGTGCTCTCTGATTCCTCGTAATTTTTTATAAACTTGTATCTAAGTAACTTATCACTCTCTTCACTCTCAAAGAAGTGTTTCTTTACAAAATAGACTGTTGTACCAATGCTCAATGATCCAATTATTACCAAGAAGGACATAATGAATAATTAGTAACTTGTGAATTCCATGTCATTATAGGATTTTTTAGTAGTTGGTTAAATCTCCCTAATAAGTTGGGCATATTTCTCATTATGCGAATCAGAGGTGAGTCCGAGCTTAAGTGCTTAAAGAGAATCTACTCTCTGATTCTAGAGATAATAGCTGTAAAAATTCTTAGCAACTGGAATCATATTCTCATCAGAAGCAAATGAATCATATTCAAGGGAACAACCACAGTCATTCTTAAAACATGAAGTAAGTTATTAATCTGATGTTGAAAGTGACCGTTGCCCGCAGCTAGCAATGCAATTTGGACTACATTAAGAGGGATTTTCGAATAATGCGAGAACTTAAATGGCTGGCTATTAGACTGCTGTACTTTAGCTGTCAGTTTAAGAATCTGATTAGGTATTTGTGTTTGATTCAACTGTGCCTGCGATCGGTTGAATTTCAGTAGCCACAGTTTAGGTTGTTGAGTTTTAGGTAACTAAAGAAGATGCTTATTGTGATATTACTCCAGATGTATCACCAGAAACAATCAATGATTAAGCTGTATTCGTCTGTGTCTAGGCTTAGTTTGATGTAGTAGAGGTTTATTGAGTTGCTTAGGTAGTAGATGTATTTGCAGTACTTGTATCTGCTGTTTTTGTGGGAGTAGTTGATGAGGCTCCTGTCTGTGTAGATGGATTATTTGTTGAAGTAGAAGTGGGAGCTGTTGAGTTAGTCTAATTTGAAGTAGCTGTATCATTTGAGACTACTGGCCTAAGTGTATTAGCATTATTCCCATTCTAAATCTTCAAGTAATTCTCTTGATACTATGCTCAATTAAAAACAAAATCTTACAGAGAGATCATAAGAGGCTTTGCATTAGTTTACACATAAGGTCACGCAAGATTATCTTTTTTCATTGTTCTCAGTTTTACATTTGAGGTTGCAAGTTGAAATGCAATTCGATATATCTGCTTCTGTTGTTTGAAGTGCTACCATTACGATTGGAGCTTTCTAAGCTGGATTGGCCTCCCAAGAATTCAGACCGAAAATATTAGATGCAAGTGATAGTGCAACAGGAGGAGTGCATCCACATGTTTTGACGCAACCTTCAGTTGGAAAGTAACTCACACAATATCCATGACACTCTTGATTGCAGACAGGTCCACTCCATTAGAGGAATTTTGATTAATTCTGATTTTAAGGCACAATAACCTATGCATATTAGAAAATTTAAATGTTACTTCTGAAGCTAAGGATTTTAAAGCAATACAAGCACCGAAGAAGAAAGCTTTTTTCCTTTAATAATAAATGAATTCAAAATGTACATTGATTTTGATTGAATTTGTAGCATAATTGATCCGACCCTATTTAAATTGTTTATATGATTTTGATTAATTTTGATATGCATTAATTCACTTCAACTGGGGTTTTGGGGTTTTGGGGTTTTGGGG